AGTCTAGTTGTGGAGGATGTCGCTTTACTGGCCCATGTTAGTATTATCATTGCGCTCTTTCCAGGTGAGGCAGTCGCTTGCCGGCCATTGGACGGCTGCTCATGCCGGCTGCCAGCCGCTCATGCTGTCTGCTAGCCGCTCATGGTAGCTCACGGCAGCCCACTGCAACGGGCTGCAGCCTACGCCGTCACCGGCAACTCACCGCAGCCCAGCTCCAGGTCGAGCTGTTGTTCACCATCTTAGCTGTAGAGGGCGCAACGTCACTGGCCCTCATGTGGGATCCGCACCGGGGTCCTGCTGCTCAGAGCTGGCATCCTAAGCCAACTCTTAACCAACACACCACTTGGCTGGCCCGAACACGGCACCTTGAGCTGAGCGGTCAATGGGTGGCCGGATGGCGACTGGACTTGGAGCTGAGCTAGCTGTACCCTCCACAACTAAGACTGAAGGACGATAACTTGGCTGTTCCCCTTCCCCAATTCCCCAACACTGTTCTCCTTCCCCAATTCCCCAATAAAATCTTAAAAAATAAATCCTAGAAGGCATTGTTTGTAATGCAGTATTGCATGATAATTGAATAAAACAGGAAAGAACCTACCCCAAAACCTAGTACATCAGTGAAAAATATGCTTGTTTTTCCATGATATGAGTATATTACAAAGTAATTTTTAATGTTTATCAGCTGGAATCAGGCTTGTTTTGACCAGGACGCTTTCCTGATCAAAAAGTTAGAAAAGAGATAAGAATGAAGGAGGTTGAAAATGTCTGAGTGCTGAGAGTGAGAAGCCCTCTTTGAGCCAGGATTTAGCAGCTGAAAGGGAGGCAGGGGGCGTGGCATCCGTTGCCACGTGTGGGTAAAGAGGAATCGCTGGGCACCTGGAAGCTTGTCTATGCAGAATGTGCAGGCGTTTGTAGCCCTAGTGCGTTCACATTGAACACGGCTAGAGGCGTATATGATTTGTTTTGCCTTTATGGAGCATGCTGGGTACTTTATTCATCTGTTCAGTAACTACCTATCAAGGGCCACACAGGCTGTTTTTTTCAAACATCCTTTTGAATTATTGTTAGCATAATATGGAAAGAAGTTGGGATTCCAGGTTCTCTCTGGGTTTCTCACAGTGATGTGGCTGTACGTAAATTACAGCAGCATCCTCATGTCATAACTGGGGACGTTGGCCATTGTTCCCGCTTCACAACGTGTGGTGTGAGGGTCACATGTGCTGGTCCACTTAATAGCATGTGGAAAAGCTAACTTCTTGGTGATTGTAAGGCAGCCCTGTTACTCCTATTTCATGTTACAGCCACATAAAGAAAATACCTCTTCTCTTCCTGAACACCCAGTTGAATTTCAACACTTGGTAGTTTTCTTCTCAGCATTCTTGTTTTCCTCATAAATTTATATTATGTGGGCAAATTCCCTCAAAGTGCTAGATGCATTAGAATTAAGCAGTAATGTTTTGTTTCTTCAACTAGAGCCTCTTAAAACTTGGTGTAGGTATTATGTGTTCTCTCATTTCCTTATCTTTGTTGTATGTTGTATTTTAGCACACGTCACACGGAGATGGGCGGCAAGAAGTTACCTCTCGCACCGGGCGCTCTGGAGCTCGGTGTAGAAACTCTATAGCTTCCTGTGCAGACGAACAGCCTCACATCGGAAACTACAGACTGTTGAAAACAATCGGAAAAGGGAATTTTGCAAAAGTGAAATTGGCAAGACACATCCTTACAGGCAGAGAGGTAAATAGGAATGATACTTAATTTCTGTTATGACACTTGTTCTGTTTAGTTCCACCTGAGAGAAGGAGGAAGAGAATGTATATATTTGGGCTTATTTCTAAGCTAATTAAACATTTTTTAAGAACAAGTAATTTATATATTAATTATCTGAGAGTTCTTTTGCATTCCCATTTTTTTATCTTTTTTTAGCTGAGCCATCTTGTCACCTGTTGGCAGCTCAGCAACAGCTCAGCTTGGGCCAGGAATCGAACTGGCAACGCTGTTGCTCAGAGCTCCCACTATTTTTTTTTTATTTTTAATGATTTTATTGGGGAATTGGGGGAGGGGAACAGCATTGGAGAATTGGGGAAGGGGAACAGACAAGTTGCTGTCCTNAGGCAGATCAGTCGCCGGCTTCTGGACGGCCGCTCACGGCACCTGCTGGTCACTCACGCTGTCTGCTGGGTGCACACGGTAGCCCATGGCAACCCACTGCAGCAGGGGCTGCAGCCTACGCCGTCGCCGGTGACTCATCGCAGCCCAGCTCCAGGTTGAGCTGTTGTTCAACATCTTAGCTGTAGAGGGCAGTGTCACTGGCCCTCATACTGGGATCCGAACCAGGGCCCTCTGGCATCCCAAGCCAGCTCTTAACCAAAGCGCCACCCGGCTGGCCCTTGTTTTAGTCTTTTCTTTCATCAACATTTATTTATGTATGTATGTATGTATGTATGTATGTATGTATGTATGTATGTATGTATGTATTTAAAAGATTTTATTGGGGAATTGGGGACGGGGAACAGTGTTCGGGAATCGGGGAAGGGGAACAGACAAGTTGCTGTCCTTTTGTTCTTCAGTCTAGTTGTGGAGAACGTCGCTTCACTGGCCCATGTTGGTATGATCATTGCGCTTTTCCCGGGTGAGGCAGTTGCTCACCAGCCATAGGACGGCCGCTCACGGCAACTCATGAAAGTGCACGCCAGCTTCCGGCCAGCTCCACTGCAGCCTATGCCATCGCCGGCGACTCACGACAGCCCAGCTCCAGGTCGAGCTGTTGTTCACCATCTTAGATATAGAGGGCGCAGCGTCACTGGCCCTCATATGTGGGATCTGAACCGGAGCCCTGCTGCTCAGAGCTAGCATCCCAAGCCAAGTCCTAACCACCGCCCCACTCGACTGGCCCTCTTTCATCAACATTTATAAATAGGCTATTTGCCCTAAATTCTGATTTAGAAATTAGAATCCTTTTTGTTATAGGAACCGTGTTACAAGTTGCTTAGATTTGTACTGAGTTCATAAAATTCTGTTTTATTTACGTAAAATATTTACATTAAAAAACATAGAAGGCAAAAAAACCCCCAAACAAACAAACATAGAAGGCGTTGGGCCGGCTGAGTGGCTCAGTTGGTTAAGAGCCTGAGCTCTGAGCGACAGTGTTGCCGGTTCAATTCCCACATGGGCCAATGAGCTGTGCCGGAGCTGAGCTGCCAACAGGTGGCAGGATGGCTCAGCTGGTGAAAGCATGTGCTCCTAACAACAAGGTTGCTGGTTCGATTCCCACATGGGATGGTGTGCTATGCCCACCCGCAACTAAGATTGAACATTGCACCTTTTTTTTTTAAAGATTTTATTGGGCAATTGGGGGAGGGGAACAGCGCTGGGGCATCGGGGGAAGGGGAACAGACAAGTTGCTGTCCTTTTGTTCTTCAGTCTAGTTGTGGAGGATG